GGAAAGAGAGATGCATTGCTTACCGAAAAAAGACAGCAAAGGTGAAAAACCCCGAGAGACGATTTTCTTTCTTTGCAAACTCTAACATTAATAATTGTTTTCTATACAAATATTTTTATTTTATAAGAATCTATCATTATAATATTTGTATTTATAGTAAATGATTATGACTGTGCTTACCTGAAATAATTTGATAATAATTAAATTTAATTAAAACTTTGATATTTATTTATCCGATAAAAAAATAACCATACTAAATGTATATTTATCATTTGTTATATTTATTATTATCACTGTGTATATTTATTAATATGGAATTAAAAATCCACCCCAAAGTTCAAAACCCATCAAATATACAATGGTTATAGGGAGAATTACTTTTTCCATCTTTAAAAAATTAAAAAAAAAAGTAATTTTTTTTGTACTTAGAATGTGAAGTATTATTGAAAAATTTTAAATTGTTATTTATTTTTATAAATTACTAGATCGCTTTTATATATTTATATTAAAAATTAATTTAAAAAAATAAAATATATATCATTTTAATATATTTTTAGAAAACAATTTAAAAAATAATGGTGATAACATAAATTGTTATGCCTCAACCGAAAGAAAGCAGGCCCCAAATTATATGGGTCATTCGTTGGGCTTGATTCACAAACCGACTTGATCTCTAGACTCAAAACACATTTTCAATGTCGACGTGCCATCTCTGAAAAAAGCAATAACTTTAAAACGACCTCGCCCACGATTCTTGTTCGCTGAAGAACACATAGAGAGAATCAGACAGCAATGGCAAGTTTCCTCAACATCACATCTCCTCCGTTCTTCTCTTCAAGAACATCACTTTCTCCCTCCCCACCACCTACTCTCACTGCCCAACTAACCCAATTCAAGGTTTTGCTGCTTTCTCTCTATATTCATTCCAGTTTCACTTCATAATCTCTCGTTTCAATTCCCTGACTTCTTCTTTGTTTATCTCTTGAAGAAGGGTTGGTGTTGGAAACTAAAGTGCATGCCTTCTTCAGGGCCAAGTCAAGAGACTGATTCAGAACCACCTGAAACGGCACCATCTCCTTCAAACTCAGCTTCTTTATTGTCTTCTTCAAGTGTTTCTACTTATAATTGGTGTGCAGGTCTTGGTGGTGTTGGGTTTCTTGAAACTGGATACTTAACATTCCTCAAGCTCACAAATTCTGATGCTTTTTGCCCAATTGGTGGTGGCAACTGTGGTGATGTTCTTAGCAGTGATTATGCAGTGGTTTTTGGTATGTTCATTATTAAT